TGGGGGTGAGGAAGAGAGGCATCGTATACTTTTTGCAGAAACGGTGATAGTTGAAGGATGGTGAGTTTAACAGCTGGCCAGACAAAGTGGGGATCAAAGGCTCCAGACAGAAGTAATACCATATGCAAAGGAAGGGAAGCATGCATGAGCATGAGCACATCACTTTGGAAGTGGACAGGTTAACCCTTATCCACAGATGGGCAAGTTAGCTGGTTCAGGTGGTTCGGCAGGTGTCCCTACCCATGATCCATGTGTGTCCTTCTCTTGGGAGATCAACCTTACACTGTCAAGACTAGGGAGATAAGCATGTTTTGCTGTGTAGCATGTACAGGACATGGCATAGTTGTGGCAAAGGCATAGAATGTGTACTTGAGGGCGGCCAGAAGTAGGGGAGAGAAAGGATGGCTGGGGCGGGACATTCAAAAAATCCTTACATCCAGGTGCTGGGGCAGGTAGAGGACCTTGCTTAGCCTCTGGGTTCCTTTTGCATCAATCTTATAGTGCAGCTTGAAGGAGGAGACCACATGCCAGGTGTGACTGCGGGGATCTGAAGGAAGCATGTGACTTACTCATTTGGTAACAGGCAGTGACTTCTGGGAACCTAATAGGCTGGTGCCTTGATCTTGGACTTCCTAGCCTCCAGAACTGTGAGAAATAAATACATGTTTAAGCCACCGGGTTTATGGTACTTGGTTACAGCTGCCCCAACTGATGGAGTGAAGAAGGGATCTATCTACAAACAGTGGCAGGTTTGGCGGGGAGTCCATGAAATCTGGTTTCAAATCCACTGTGCTTCGGAGGTGGAAAGGACCAGAAGGCAGTTAGATAGAATGGTCTGAAGCTCAGCTGTGAGCCACGAAAATAAATAGGCAACGAAAGAATAACCGAGGGCAGTACCAAGAGACTCTCTTAGGGGAAATGTTCTTAATTCAGTTCAACAAATATTTTATAAGGTTAGGCACTGAAAGACATGCAAAGGAGAATCACACAGAGCCTTCTCCTTCAAAGAGCCTGCCTTGTTCTAACTATAGCCATGGACTCAGGTTTCCACACCAATGAAAAGTGTTTCTAAGAATTCTTGCTGAAATAAGATGTCAAATTCATGTCTACAAATCTAGGTCTGTTTCCTGGGCTTTCTGTGAGTTTGACATATAGGTCCTTTTTTTCTTTCTTTCTATTTTCCTTCAGATTACTTATGGATTTCTTTCTTTTTTTTTTTTTTCTCTTCAGGTTACTTATGAATTTCAAACAAATTCTAGGTTATGATAATTGATGCCCTTCTTTATTTTCCAGGCTGCTTTATGCTTAAACATACCATGATTGACTTATAGCCATCTGAAAAGATGGGGACTGCATTTTTTATGGAAATTTTCAATCTTTGCTGTTAGAGTGTAGAGAAAATGGAAGGTTAATGCAGTTCGTTTATTTTTTTTAAAGTGTAACTCCTTTTTGAAAAATACTTTTCTGTATGTTCATTAACTGTTTTCAGATAAACACACAGAGACATATATACAACTACAGTCTCTCAGTTGACTGCCAAAGTTTGTGAAGAAAATAATATTTTAGAAAACGTTTAAAATATTTAAGAAAATATTTAAAACATTTAAGCAAATATTTAAATAAAATTTAAGAAATGTCCTAAAATATGAATTTGCAAGAGGACTGTATGTAGACTCCAATATTTCCATTGGAAATGAAATTTTGCAACTAAAGAGAAAATTTCAGGAGTGCCTAGGTGGCTCAGTGATTGAGCTTCTGCCTTTGGCTCAGGTTGTGATCCCGGGACCCTAGGATCGAGTCCCACACTGGGCTCCCTGCACGGAGCCTGCTTCTCCCTCTGCCTAGGTCTCTGCCTCTCTCTGTGTGTCTCTCATGAAAAAATAAACAAAATCTTAAAAAAAAAAAAAAGAAAATTTCAAAATGTGAACTTAATATACATGCTAAAAGCGCTAAGTCACATTTTATAGCATAAGGAATTGAGGAACCTTAATTTAAAGCAAATAATGGTGTCTTGTCCCACTAGGAATTTGCATATTTTGCTAATGCTTATGGATTCTGATCTCAGAAAATTCCTTTCTAAAGTGTGAGATTTCTTATTAGGAAAAAAATTCAGATACAAGGGGATTAGCATAGAAAAATTGGTCTTGCTTCTCTCTATTTAAACATTTTTAAGTCCAATTCTTTGTCAGTTAACATTTTAGCCACTGGAATACAGGTAACACGTCTTGTTCTTTCCCCAGAAACTGGTGTGTTTACTTTTATGGACTCAGAGGGGCTTTTCAAATTAACTTCAAATTTTTACGGCCCTTTTTTTCATATCCCACGTGTAAATTTGCTGTGGAGACTTAGGAATGATGGAACTGCACTCAGCAGCCCACTAGTGAATTGGTTGGCTTAGGTGAGTGTTGAGGACCTTTGGCAATGCGGCGCAGGCCTGAGTTTTAGCACTGAAGCAAAAGTTTTTAGAGCAGGCCAGGTTATGAATCAATATGAAGGGAGGCACTTGAACACAATGTGCACTTTTAAAAATTCATTGAAAATTTAGGGATCCCTGGGTGGCGCAGCGGTTTGGCGCCTGCCTTTGGCCCAGGGCGCGATCCTGGAGACCCGGGATCGAATCCCACGTCGGGCTCCCGGTGCATGGAGCCTGCTTCTCCCTCTGCCTGTGTCTCTGCCTCTCTCTCATTCTATGTGACTATCATAAATAAATAAAAATCAAAAAAAAATTTTTGAGAGCATTTTCAATGAAAGTCGATAGGACTGCAATTTGTCTCCCTTGAACAAATTAGTTCGCTTTTGTTAAGAGTTTTGTCTTTTAAAGTATTGATTAAATCAATGCTCAAGGTAGAACTAGGTCCAATTACAATCCTAACACCTTTTGGGCAACTGTTCTAATAATATAATTAATATTTTAGCAAAACATCATGGGTCATACCTGAAAGAAATCACCTGGGTCTGAAGAATACCTACTGAGGGCAGCCCTGTTAAGATTAACTCTGAGGTGTGTAGATTAATTTCCTGGACTTGCAAAGCAGGAGAGGGAAGGTTTTCCTTCCTTATAAGCCTGGAGGGTTTGGTGTTTGGCCCTGTTGAGACCCTAAGGGCTATTTGGGCTGATTAACATATATGTAATTAAAGTGCACCAGCTAGAAAGGCAGAACCAGTTTTATTTGGCTCTGTACTTCTGTGAATAATTTCTTTCTCTCTACATTATTTACCTTCTGTGTCTGTATGGGGGAGGGAGAGGAGGGGTCTAGCTTCCCTGGACATCCTTCCACTGCCTTGTTTAGGATTATTATTATTGCTTCCTATCCTGGCAGACAGAAAAGGGTAGACAGGCTTTGCCTAGCATTCAAACTAGGTTTTCTTTCCATTCATATCACCATTTTTAAGCCACATTTTTCATCACAGGGTAAGAAACACTGTAAATAATTGAGGTGATCCATCAAGAGACCCATTCTTGATAATGAAAAATTGCATAACTCAGTAGAAGTCAATTAAAAACCACCAACTTCAGACCCCTTTACTCAGTGAAGATTTATTTTTATAGTAGGCATTTAATACGATAGATTATGGAGGTCAAAATTTTTTAAATTTCTAAAAATTCAGTTAGAGCTTGACAACCAACAGAAGATTTATACAGTACCAAAGTATATTCGTTTTTTATTTTTCTCATTCCTTAACTTGAGATGTTTGAGGTGTTCAGGATTTTATAACCATATTAGAAATGACATCCCACTGTGGGATACTTTTTTATTCCTTTGCAGGTTTTAAATGCTTCGTACTCTGTTTGTCCCTGTAAAATGAAAACTACCTAAACTAAGAAGTTAGGACATTTTCATCAGTTAAACCAAGTATCTGAATACTTAGGACTAGATAAACAACTTGAAATGTTTTTGTTGTCTGGTTGCTTGGTGAGGTCACAGACCATACATAGAATGTAATATCTTATACAACTCCAGGTAACTAAAAAAAAAAATAATGATGGCAGTGTCTTTAGAGATATCCAAGCTATGCAAGTGGCCAAGGGTAAAATGCCAAGTCTCTGAAATATGATGTCCATTATACTTTTCTTCCCTTTCCGTGGTTTTTCATGCCCTAAACCTAAAATGAACTAAGGTGCAACATCTATCTTCAAAAACATAAATATTTAACCATTTGTTTTAAGGTTCATAATCTCCCATTAGAAGTTTAAACTGTATCTAACGTCTTAGGTAGGGTTTGGCAGTCAGGCCTGGCAGATGCCTAACTCCAATCAACAGCGCACATGTGATCTGCTTCCTCCTGAAATTAAACTGCCAAGGAAAAAGGAGGAATCGTGCTCTTTATTTAATAACAAAGAATGCTATCGTTCGAATTCTCCAGATTTGGAATTCCAGCAGTGTTTTTCTGTTTTCTTCTTGATGTGTGACAAGAACGAATAATATAAAAAATAAAAATAAACCTCATGTAAACAAGCAGTTCTTTGACTTTATAAGGCTCAACATCAAATATATCAAATTCTAAAAATACCAAAGACAGTGAAATGTCAAAGCTGAGGGGATAACATGCTGGGGATAGAACAGGTTTTTAAGTCTTTCGATTTATTTGAACCTACTAGCATTAACTTTATGTTCATAGTTGCCACTTCAACAGACTACTGGAGACCATGAGATTTCATATTCATATAAATATTTGACTTTGACCTCATAAAAAGTCCCTTGGGTCTATAATACTTTTATTCTTGTATAATCTGAAACAAATCCTTTCCTTTTAAAAATCAAACAGACCACGTTACACACACAGTTTAACTATTTACAAAGCACCCAATTAAATCCTACTTAATTCTCTCTCACTCTAAAAATTCCATCTAACTGGTGTGCAAAGTACTGACCACATTAAATGCATCATGTTCACAGGCCCTGATGGTCCCTATCCAACCTAGAAAATACTGACTTCATTAAAGAGAAAAGGAAATCTTAAAAAATAAGTAGAGCGTTTTGAAGAAACGAGACCAGAAATCACAGTACAAGACAGATAAATCTACTTTAATATGCACATGTAAAAGTTACACATCACAAGAGATTGGACAGTAGTTTAGCCATAACTAACATAGCTATAGTGAAAATCATTTTTATAAAAAAATAATCTAGATGCGGTCATCAGAATTTTTGGTCTACTTAAGTTAATGTTTGAAGATCGACTTTTATCCCTGCTTGAAGGATTTGCCATTATGCCTTGTTTTTTTTCTTTTTCTTTTTTTTTTTTTTTCTCCCACTGTCGCCTATTAATATTCTTTGGAGGAAGGAAAGCAGAAAGTGTTCATTTCCAAGAGTTTGTCCTTTGGTAGCAAGCAGAGAACATTTTTCATTTCTATGATTTAAATAATCTGTACAGACATGAAACGTACGGACATTAAGCTTTAGTGTAAAATGAAGGATGATAAGCATTTTTTTTCCACTTTGATAAAACAGTAGATTTCATAAACTCCTTTAGGATCCAAGCATTTCCCCATCCCATATGCAAAACCATTCAGAATCCATTTTGACCTCAGTTAAAAAACAGAAAAGCAAACACTTACTCTTTATATATTACACTATCAAACCCTGTACTTAAGAACTGATAAAGTATATTCCCAACATGTATGCTTCAAATACAAAGATTTCAATCTAGGTTAAAGAAAACACATTTGAATGGACTCAGAGCAAGTTTATTTCGTGATTAAACATCTCATGCAGTCATGCAGGACCACTAGCTATAACGATTACTTCCGAGTCTATATATGACACTGGATAAAACAAAAACAAATTAAAAGCTAGGCCAAACAGAAGAGACATTCAAGATATCAGGAGCTCTGCAACGGAGCTGAAAAATAATTTTCCAAAAGAAATATTCCCATAGATTAAAAAAACACACACATAATATTTACAAAAAATATTTAATTAAAAATATCTTATAATTACAGTAGTCTATTAAAGCATATACTTTCTCACACTTATAGAACATCTCTATATATACATGGTATGAAATGTCACTCAGTTATCTATACAATATGTAACATTCTTGCAGGGAGAAGAAAGTTCCCCGCCCCGTTATAATCATCTATTTTAAACAATAGATGTCAAAAAAGAAATATCTACAATGCTCTTTTATATTAGTAAAGCTTCAAAACAAAAATTGAGCTCCTTGGTCACAAAGTAGGCTTCTAAAGTTGATTTACTCTTCATCTTCTATTTATCAGTCCTGTCACACTTAAGCTTAAAAGTTTAACTGCACCTCCGAAAACACAGAAATGTACATTTCACAGCGGTTATAAATGAAGAGACAAAAGAGAATACATATGCAGAATGTTTATGAACGTGCAAAAAAAAAAAGGATGGAAATTGTATTTTTCTCCCCCCCCCCCTCTTGGAATGACGAATGAAACGTTTCTAGGATTTGCTGATTTTTTTTTTTTTTCCTTTCCTTTCCTCGGGTGGCTTTTTCTGCAATTTCTGCTCTTTCCCCCTCCCTTTCTAGTGCTCCTGGCTCGGGCTCAGGCGGGCCGCACACCTGTGGAAGACGAATGAATAGAGGGGGTGTGTGAACCTTCCCGCTGCAGACTAGCTGGCGCCACCGACCAAACTCAAGACATGCTTGATCAACAACCCAAAACAAACCGCCAGGTCAGACGACACGACACCCTCGGCCCGCGGCCGGCCCGGCGGACCAGCAGGCGGCTGGCGGCTGGCGGCTGGCCCCGAGGAGCCGGGATCGGGATCCACTCCCAGGCCCCGCCGCATCCCGCCTTGCGGGCGTCAGACGGCTCGGGGCGTGGGGCGCGGGGCGTGGGGGGTGGGGGCGCGCGTCGGGCAGTTCCCACGCCCACGAGGGGCCTCCCTCGGAGGGGACGCGGGCGGTAGGGGCCCGCGGGTCACGGGAGGGGCCCGGGGGCGGCGGGGACCCGCGTCCCTCCAGAGCGAGCCCCCAACTAGTAAAGCGAAGTGCGGCGGCACCGACGGGGGATGCCACCTCCTCGGGGCCTGGCTCACACACTCCGGGGCCGGGGACGCGGCGGGGCCGGGCGTGTCGGGGCCCCGCGCCGGGGAGGGGGAGGCGCGCTCACCTGGCCCGCGCGGCTCAGCGGCACAGGATGCTGTCGCCCTGCTTGTTCACCGCGCCGGCCTGCAACAGCAACGGACACCGAGGCACAGGTTAGCGGGCGCGAGCGTCGCGCCCCGTACGCTCCTGGGCTTGTGCGCGGAAGCCGGGCTGGAGCGCCGACGCCCCCCGCCCCCCGCCCTCCCCGCGGGCGCAGGCTGGACTTGACAGCCCGGGATGCGCAGGGCCGCCCCCGCCCCCGCCCCGGTGCCGCCCCGGTGCCGCCCCGCGCTCCCACTCCCACCTGCGCTGGCCGCGCGGAGCCCGCCGCTGCCCCCCCCCCCGCCCCGGGCTCCCGGGGCACACGGGCAAGGCTGCCATCCCCCCCCCGCCGCCGCCCGGAGGAGGGGGAGCGCCCGCCTGCGGCCCCCCGCCTCCCGCCCCGCCTCCCGCCCCGGGCCGGCGTGCGGCCTCTCACCGGGTCGGTGTTGAGCGCCGTGAGCGGGGTCCGCGGCGGCGCGGCCGGACAGGTCCCCGCCGGGTGGTGCGGCGGCGCGGGCGGCGGCGGCTGCCTCAGCAGAGCCGGGTGCGTCTCCAGCGCCAGCTGCAGGTCCAGGATGTAGTCGATAACGTGCTGCAGGATCTCCACTTTGCTGACTTTCTTGTTGGGCGGGATGGTGGGCACGAGCCTCCGCAGGCGGCTGTAGCAGTCGTTCATATCGCACTGCAGGCACAGCGCCGGCTCGTCGGCCGCCGCCTCCGCCGCCTTGCAGCGCGCCGCCGCCGCCGCCGCCGCCGCCGCCGAGCCTCCGAGGCTGTGGCCGTGCTCCGCCAGGCAGCGCAGGGCCAGCTCCCCGCCGCCGCAGCCCGACGGCGCCTTGCGGCCCGAGGGGCGCACCGGGCTCACCGCCTTCATCGCGCGCCCCGCGCCCCGCGCCCTGCGCGAGCGGACACGCCGGCGCGAGCGAGGCAGGCGGGCGGGCGGGCGGGCAGGCAAGCTCCGGGCCCCCGCCCGCGGCCGCGGCCGGCTCCGCTCCCCCCGCTTTCGCGCCCGGCGCGCGCGGTCCGCGCTCGGGGCACCGCGGAGCTCCCGGCGGCCCCGCGCCCAACAACTGACGGCACGGCCGCTCCGGGCTCTGCGACGGGACCTCTGCCCAGGGGGCGACACTCGGCCGGGACCGAAAGGCAGGGGCAGAAAGCAGGAGCGCCGGAAGGGAAGCAGCCCCCGGGCGCCCTCGTCACCCCTCCGCAGCGCCGACTACAGCCCGGCCGCCGCCGCCGCCGCCGCCGCCGCCTCCTCCCCGGCTCCCAGGCGCGCCTCCCGTACGCTCTCGCCCCGCCGGCCGCGCAGCTGCATTTATAGAGCCGCGCGCCCCGGGGGCGGGGCCTGCACGCTGGCGGGGTCGCGGCGCGAGCCGAGCCGAGCGGAGCCGGGCCGGGCCGGGCCGGGCGCGCGGGCGGGTGCGCGGAGGGAGGCGGCGAGGGCGGAGGCTCCGCGGGGGGGTGGGGGGGGGCCGGGCGGCCCGAGCGGACCGGCGGGCGGGGGGCGGGGGCGGGGGCGGGGGCGGGAGCGGCCAGCCAATCGGGCGCGCGGTGCCACCTCGGGGAAGGACGCTCGGGCCAATGGGAAGGGCCCTCCGGTCGGTCCGCGCCGTGGTCGGGGCTCTGAGAGAAGCGAGCCGAGTGGGAGTCGCGCCAGGCTGGTGTGCGCCCCAGGGAGGGGCAAGACCGGGAGAAGTTCCCGCGGAGAACTGCGGCGGTGCGCGGCTGGAACCGCCGTCCCCCGGCTGAGGCTGAGGCTGAGGCTGAGGCTGAGGCTGAGGCTGAGGCTGAGGCTGCTGCGGAGCGCGGGGCCCGGGGACCCCCGGCCGCCGCCACTCCAGCCCGGGGCGCCGCGCCTCCCGAAGGACGCTGTTCCAGAAGGCGCGTTCGTCCTCTTCGGTATTTCCCCTCTCCGTTTCATTATTCGCCTTTACACAATCGCCGAAAAAGAAAAAAAAAAGAAAAAAAACCCATAATGATGGAATGGAATGTGCAGCCGTTCCGTTTTCCTCCTTCCTTCCTTCCTTCCTTCCTTCCTTCCTTCCTTCCTTCCTTCCTTCCTTCCTTCCTTCCTTCCTTTCTTTCTTTCTTTCTCTTTCTTTCTTTCTTTTCTTTCTTTCTTTCCTTTCTTTCTTTCTTTCTTTCTTTCTTTCTTTCTTTCTTTCTTTCTTGTTAAAGCTTAACAAAAAAAAAAAAAAAAAAAGGAAAAGAGTGCCGAACGCAGAGATTTTTGAAGGGACATACAAATCAACACGTCGCAGGGCTTTTCTTTGACCCATCTAGATGATGCACAAGTGAGCTCCAGAAATGCAATTGCCTCAAAGCATTAAATGAGGGCACGCAAATATTAAAAATGCATGGGCACGGAGTGTTTAAAATTCCACCATGACATATAATATTAATCCGTTTTATGTAAAATTCATACCTGTAACTTAATGTAGGCCATTAGCGCAGAGAGCCTCACGTGGTAGTGTACCCCGCTTTTTTAAAACAAGCTGCTGAGAATGTCCAGAGCCTCCTTTTGCAGCAAAGCATTAAAATTCACACTCGCAGTTCCTGGAGTCCTGCTCTGGCCACACCCTGCAGAAAAGTCTGTTAATTTTTTTTTTAATTTTTATTTATTTATGACAGTCACACAGATAGAGAGAGAGAGGCAGAGACACAGGCAGAGGGAGAAGCAGGCTCCATGCACCGGGAGCCCGATGTGGGATTCGATCCCGGGTCTCTAGGATCGCGCCCTGGGCCAAAGGCAGGCGCTAAACCGCTGCGCCACCCAGGGATCCCAGAAAAGTCTGTTAATTAAGAACGTTTCTGTGGCTTCTGATAGAAAAGCTGTCCCACAAGGGTTTGAACAAGATTGCAAAATGCGCTTTGATGGGATCTTCTTGTGTGTACTCGTCAAGGAAAAATCGACCCCTTTGGTTGAGAAGTGAGTATAAAGACCCTTCGGTCATTGAGGGTATATATAGACTGTGAGTGCCTTCACCCTGCAAACCCCCCACCTTTAGAAAAGCTAGGAGATGAGTTACCTCCGGAATTCTCGTTTGTGACATGATGTAGATTGGTGCCTTCGTTTTTATAGATCCTTAGGAGAAAGAGATAGGGACCTCACCTCTTTTCCCGTCTACCCTCTGCGAGGAAGCCCTCCCTCCCTCCCTGCCCAGAACCGAAATACCTGCATCAGGCAGGTAGGTACTTTGCTTAGCCACGTGGATATTTTATAACTATCGCACTACTATTTCCCCAGAGCACATTCCTTTTTCCTGATGAAATGAGGAGTAACTATGTAATGCTGATTTCACAGGAAGATGCAACAACCTTCCTCTCCCATAATACTCACACATTACTGCCTCTAATGATGGTTTGGAAACCAGGCACATTCTCACTCATAGGCATACCTACATGGTCGGCCTACGCCACTTACCAAGAAAGGGAGAATTGTCAAACCTCACAGAAAACCTTCTTCTAAATACAGGCGTAGTTTTGTATATTCTTAAATTAGAATAAATAAACACAGAATATTGTCATTTTAGATAGAAAGGTGGGCCAAGTAGGATTCATGGGGATTAGCTGCTGTCATGGAGCTTGTCCTGTCGTCACAGATGATAATAGTAAGTGGATGTATGTACAGATGTTTCTGTTCCATTTTTTTTCTTGGTTAAACTTTAAAGGCTGCTCCAACATTTAAAACCAGTTTTTTTTTTCTTTTTTTTTCCCCTCGGGGAAAATTGAACATGCTAATATACCCGGGGCACACTCATTTCAGAACTTTACAGAGTCTGAGTTGATTACACTTAAAATTTAAGTTTTAAATACGTGACACAAAGGAACAGACACATCCATCCTGTTGGACTTTGATAAATCTCAGAGAGCCGTACCCTGGGTGTGACAAGTGCCAAATGCCAGAGTTTCAGGTTTTGTTGGAGTTGCTCTGCGTGAGTAGCTTAAAGTCAGAATAGCCGGGTTAGTGTGCAGCCTAAATTCAAAGGAATGTACTCAGACCACATGATCAAGAACACCCAGGAAAAATGTGATCCCCCAGATCCTGCCAGGAGAAGAGGTAGAAGCAGTTATTCTATTCCTCGTTTTGAAGGTTGGAAGACAATTAAACAATTCAAGGCTAGGAAAACATGATACGATGGAAATAAAGAATCCAATCCTGTCCTTTTTTGGCCTTAAAATCCTGAGAGTACCAGAGGCTAAGCAATGTATGTTTCTGATTCTCAGACACAGTCACTTGCATGACGTCAAAGCTGAAGTCACAAGAGACTCCCGGCACTGGTAGTTCAAACCAGAGTTTACTCAGCAATTACTAGCTTTTGGGAAAACCTCACATGCCACATTACTTCTACTGTGCGGGGAGATGGAAACTTAGTTTCCCACGACTCTTCCTTTTACATCAAAATCCTTCACTTGCACTTGTAAAAATAAGATGGGCTAGCCAAAAGTCCTTTGCCATGAAAGTGCTGGAGGCTCCCAGAATGTTCCGCAAAGGGAACCTGGGATGAAATAGTCATAGGAAAATTGCTAGGGAGTCCGGGTGACCAGAGTCATGTGTACACCCTTCCTCCAGACAAAGAACTCTGCAGCCCTTTCTTGGGATGCATTTTAGACGCTAATCAGAGCCTCGCTGAACTGCAACACCCAGGCTCTTAGAATTCACAATCACCCTGTGTTTACATGAAGCAAGGGTATCCAAGCATATTGCGCTATTCAGTCCAAATGCCTTTTTAGGACTTGATACTTCTTTCCCCATGGCTTGCAGTGAAGCAGTGGGTGGGCTCAGACACACAGATAAACATGAGCGTTCCCATGCCTTGGTGCCTCTCTAGATGTAAATGGTCACTGGAAGGAGGCGTGTGCATTCTTTCTAGGCACAAGGAACCAGTATGTACTCGGCTGTGGGATCATCCCTTGCTCCAAAAAAGCAAATTGGGCAATGTGGCAGTTCATGCTCAAGGCTGCTTTATCTGGCACTGAGTGTTACAGACTTACTTGTGCTACCCTTGGATTGCTGATACCAGTCCCGGAAGCACTGATAACCTTTTGATTTGCCCAGTCTTGGAAAAGTCTGGGACAACTTAATGTCCCTTAAAAAGGGACATTAAATATTGAGCACAGACAAGCAGACATGGCCATCAAAAATGCCTACCTCAGCAGTTTTGAAAGGTAGTTTGTTGAAATAAGGAGCTGATTTGGAGAAGAAAGAGGTGTCATTTCTTTTTACCTTAGGATATGTACAGAGTGTGGATTTAAAAGTCAGAACTCCGGGGCCCCAATTTTGGCTCCTTGGGTTAGTCACTTTATATCATTAAGCTGGATTTTTAAATTTTTCTGTGCCTTTCTTATATGAAATGAGGATAGAAATTGTATCTGTTTTGATATGTGTTCACATATATACTTAAACTTGTATAAAATTCTTAGAACAGTATCTGACACTTAATAATTGTTAAACTTGGGATCCCTGGGTGGCGCATCGGTTTGGCGCCTGCCTTTGGCCCAGGGCGCGATCCTGGAGACCCGGGATCGAATCCCACGTCGCGCTCCCGGTGCATGGAGCCTGCTTCTCCCTCTGCCTGTGTCTCTGCCTCTCTCTCTCTCTCTCTCTCTCTCTGTGTGTGTGTGTGTGTGTGTGTGACTATCATAAATAAATAAAAATTAAAAAAAAAGATTTAAATAATTGTTAAACTTTATTATTATTTTTGGCAAATGCTATTTCCCAGTCTGTGGCTTGTCTTCTTGTTCACTTAACAATCTTTTGAGAATACAGTTTTTTAAATTCGATGATGTTCATTTTATCAATTTGTTTTTTTTATGGAGCATGCTTTGGTGTTGTATCTAAGAAATCTTTGCATTATCCATTAAAATGAAGGTCTCCTCATGTGTTTTCTTCTAGACATTTTATAATTTTTAGGCCAGGTTGGTTTCATGGGCACACAGTATATACAGCCACATAGGGTCCCATATGTAGAATGGTCTTGTGCTTGGTTTAATGTTCTAATGTTACCATCTTGAAATTCGCAGTAATTTTGGAACAAAGGGGCGTGTGTTTTCATTTTGCCACATGTAGCCAGGGCTGGTTTTAGGTTTAGGTCTATGATCCATTTTGTGGTTATTTTTGTATGTGGTTCAAGATATGAATTGAAGTTTATATTTTTGCATATATGCATGCCCCATAGTTCCATCACCCTTTGTTGAAAAGACTGTCCTTTTTCTATTGGACTGGCTTTACATCTTTGTAAAAAAATCGGTTGTGTGTATATGTATGGTTCTGTTTCTAGCCTCTGAATTGTGTTTCATGAGTCTTTCTGTTTTTACACCATACTGTCTTGATTACTGTAG